TACAAACTACTTTGCCGCAAACCACAAAACGCGCAAAACCATAATTTAAATAGGGTGTCTCCAACAGTTTTGCACCTGCCACCAGTTACGCAATCACACTTGTTAAATCACCTGCGCAAAATTCCAGTTTGCGAGCGCAAATTACTGCACGCAAAATTGGATCTTGATAAATCCGGCCCAAAGACAGGTAAAGGAGGATGAATGTATCTGGAATAACGAGCACACATTTCTGTACTTTCTCATTACCATTACAAGTAATATGAATTGTCGCAAGATTTGTGAATTCATAAACTCTCTAAAATCTTGGCGGAAGCCAATGGATGCAATAGCCTTGAATACAGATATGATTTTGAAACAAGGAAATTCAGTGACATCAAACACAAGCAGCAGGCTGAAAAAAAAAGAAAACATGGCTACACCTGTAAACTTTGCCATTTAGACTGTTTTAGCTGTAATACCCTCAATTTCTTTTTTAAATACAAGCAAAGGACCCGATTTTTGCCTTTGTGGATGGGAAAGATGATTTTTGAAACAAATCAAGAATGTAATACGTCACAGCTGCTACTGCAACTGGCTAAATGCTCAACATGGGAGGCAGGTGCCCCTTGGTGATTTACTCACTTGGCTTGAAGAATTGTACTGAATGTTCATCCTTTTTTGCAAACGTTTTCCACAGAAGCCTTTCCAGATGGATACTGTGCGAAATTCAAATTGAAATACATTTATCAATCTGTCTAGGTCAGAGTTCCTAGTGTTTTATGAGATTTCCAGCTGTTCTTTAAAAGAAAAAAAATGGTAAAAGCTTAAAGCCCAAGTAGAAATACTACTTCCAGGGTTCAGATTGTATCGCATAAGGCAATTGTTAGGTAAGAACTTTCTTACCTAACAATTGTAAGTAATTTCACCTTTAACCAAGATTTCAAATTTATCGACTGTTGTTTTATTCTACAGTACTGATGTAGTTAGAATAGGTAACATGAGCTTATGCAGATTTTTTTTTCAGTTAAAAAGTTTGTGAATGTCCAGAGATTTATTGAGACTTAACCAAACATAATGCACTGTTCAACACTTGAATGCACTGTTCAACTCACACTTTAGTATTCTTGAATAAAATATTAATTTTATTTCAAATGTCACCATTATTAACCACAAGAAGGAACCTTAAAGAGGACTCCATGCTCTAGGTATGCTTGTCCATAATTTTGAGTTCTCCTGTGCTCCGGCCACCATAAGGCCAGGTACGACTTCTTAACCTCTGATCTCATTTTTTTTCCAAGTCACACTGCCTGCGAGTGGAGAGAGAATCCAACTAAGTAGCTCCCAATATGTGCAGATGTTATTCACTATAAAACGTTTTTTTTGTGTTTTTTTTCCAAGAAGACTGATAAACTGCCATTTCTACTGTCCCTATTATTTTTTGCAAGGCTCAAAGCAGATCACTACTTATCTGTTTATTGTCCTCCTGAACTCATATCATGGGTAAAGTATTCTGTTTTTTAAAAAGTTTTACTGATTGTTTATGCCCAGTCTACCCCACCTGTTGTGACTCTAACCTGGCTGTTTTGGCTTGTGATTTATTGTATTTAGCATTAACCCTCAAAGCAGATGTGTTTTAAATTGTTTAAAATTGAAATGAAATCCTGCATTTGGCTGGGTCAGATTGTGATGTATTTGAAAAAAAAAAAAAAAGATGGCACGGCATCAAAGCAAGGCCTGACTTCATTAGCCTGCCTCAGCCTGCTGCTGAATGCTCCAACTAGAGGATTTTACTTAATCAAAAATATTAATGAAACTATGCTTAAAAAAAAAGCAGCAGTAAAGGATGTGAAAAGGTTTAATAGGTAGGCTACTAGGTGAGGCAGTAAGAGGGGAATCTCTGTTAGTGATCAGTGAAGTTTGTCAAAGTTTTTTTCATAAAGAAGGTAGAATGATCAGCTGTGCTTTCTTGCTCTGTCCCTGTTTTTTTTTTAAGGCTCAAAGAGGATCACTATTTCACTTTATCTGATTTCTCTCCTTCTGAACTCCTATAATGGGTAAGGTATTCTATTTACTGAAATGTTTTGTCAATTGTTTATGTTCCAGTCTGCCCCGCCTCTATATGCATGCTGTATGATTTAAAGCGGGGCAAACCTCACTATTTTCCCTTTTTATTTTGTATTTCCCCCAAACCGAATGCGTTTTACTTTGCAACAGTGTCTCTCTTCCCTTCAGATGCAGAATTGTCTTCTCATCCAAATCCGTCGTCTAGAGTTTAGACTTCTTTTTAGGCCATTCAAGGAGCCCACTATGCTCTTGAGAGGAGCAATGCATGCAAAACATCTCTGTGTCATTACAGAGAACAGCTGAAATTCATTGATAAAAACAAAAATATGGCCTCTTTAGCTTCTGTCACTGGAAATATTGGGTTTCTAAGACAGTTGACAGTTGCTATGTTCCAAACTTTGATTTGGCTCAATGATGGGAATTTTTTTGCCATTCGTTAATAACTGTCCATTGATTGCTGGGAGAAAATAAATACTTTATTTCTCTTATTAACTTTTCACCCCATCTTTAATAGTATCTGGTCAAATCTAGAGCAAGATATGAGGTAGCAGTTCAAAGAACAACATGAGGAAACACACTTAAAAAGACCAAAAGAAGATAAGGTAAAGGACAAGCGGGTGATGAAAAGATTTGCAAGAGAGTAAAGTTCTTTCTTTGTCTATTGATGTGAAAAAAATCTGGCTGCCCCTTCCCCTCACTTTAGCATAGCTGACCAACATACTCACCACAAAGCCTCTCGTCTGCTCCATTGGGACAGTCTCTGTGCCCGTTACACTGCAGAACTTGAGGGAGGCATTCACTCATGTTGCCACATGGAAACTGGCCAAGGGGGCATCTCGTCCCTTCCTTCACAGGGTTGGCCACCAAGGCTGAAAAAGATAAAAAACAAGAAAAGAAAAATAATCAAAGGGAAACTTATCAAACACTTCCATGACCACATCAAGAGCCAGCAGCTTCTACAAATATTTTTGAAACAATGGCTCTGTCTAATGAGCAGAGTGAATTGCAGTTAGCGTATCATAATGCTAGACTGCACATAAGATATATCAGGTTGTACGATTTTACTGCTACAACATAACGGAGTGAGGGATTAAATGGAATTGATATGGAATGACTGCCTACAACGTGCTAGGCCACGTAAAATCACAGAGTAGGGTCAGAAGATTGTGAGGGCCGTAGTTTGCAGAGATCCCGACCTTTGTAGGATCAACAGATGTGATCTCAGGGCAATTGCGCAACTTTTGGCAAGAAAAACCTTGACTGGGAAACATAAGAGTTCTGCTGTCAAGCCATTAGATGACCTCCTAGATGAAGAGCAGACACTATAATTCACTGATGCGTAGAAAAGTGGTCATAAATTCAAATAAACACTCAAACTTAAAAGGAAGCCTTCAAGAAACATGTGAAAATGTTACAGCTGCAAAGCTGACATCCTCATAAATATCCCAATGTTTTAAGAATAGGCTGTCATTGAATTTCTCCAGATGTCAAGCAGACAAGCAAATATGTTTGTCAGAGTAGTGTGTATATCATTAACCAAATAAGTTTATTGAAATGTGGCTGCTCCTATTCTATTGCTTCTAACACCGTTTACTGTTTTGTGATACAAGCAAAACCACGGTCAAACGTATGCAGCTGCCTTAGTATTCAAATGAAAGGTTATGGCTTTCTTTGAAGAGTTCCATTTAGTTTTTAGAGCCTGGTGACCTGAGGGCTGAAAACAGTACCTTATTTTCCATCTGGCAACCTTTGGTAGAAAATACATGCTGAGTGACTTAGGCTACTTCTGTGTTGGAAAAATTAGTCAGAACCAGTAAAGTCTTTTTTCTATCCACTCTTAAACCATTTTCTACTTGCATGCAACCTTTATGGTTGTTTTTAATTTATTCCCTCAGTGAGAATGGGCATAAAGGGATATAAAGTTGAGACAGGTTTTGGCAACACCGAACAAAATGTAACATATTAGCTCTTTGTACTTGTTAAATCACTTGCTTATGTATTTACTGTGCACATTTTAGTTTAATTGTGTTGAGTAAAAAACCAGAGCAGCTGAGCATCCACTCATTCCAATGCTATAGTGCACACTGGTGTATCATTGGCTTGTCTTAATGAGGCTGAAGCACCCCAGACAACTCATCTGTCAACTTATTAACGCTCCCATGCTGATTTACTACGTTTGTTGTGCAAAAGGACAAAGTTATAATTTCTATCATTCTCTGTCCTTGTTCAGCACTAACTCATATTTGATTTGCATCAGGTAGTAAATGAAAGGAAATTTAACCACAAAAAAACCCCCAAAAACTATGAAATAAATTACCACCTCTGTTGCTACTTGGCAAAGCTACCAAAACAAAATGAAACCCAACCACTAATAAAGCATTACACATTCAAATAAACATGCACTATTCCTACAGGGCTGTAAATCAGAGGGAGACATTGATCGATTTGGGACAGCAGTTTGGTTTCCAACTAACCGGATTTAACAGCAAACCAAATTCTAGAAGTTGAATTTTAAGACAGTATTTTGGGGTTTTGTTTTTCCAGAGATCAGAGTAGAGATGCATAGAAAAAAAATCACTAGTGACCAGAGTCAGCATATTTTAGGTCTCCCTAACCAGTGGTTGCCAGGTCACATATGCAAGAAACACACCATTTCAAAGCCCTACCAAGTTTTACCGCCAACTCTTCCGTTGACATTCTGACAGTGTGAACTTGGGTGGAGGTTTGTAGAGGACTCTACTGCAGAGACTGGAGCTGAGGTGGTTTCTTGCAGATTTAAAACAGGGGAGACACTCAGGAGAATACATAAAGGTGATAGAGAAGAGAATCCAGCTATGATGAACTGCAGAGGAGGAGTATATATAGGGAGATAGAAAAAGTAATGGAGTAATCAGCCAATTGGGAGCAGGTGAGGAGAGAAGCAGCTAATTGGAAAGAAGAGGAGCAAACAAAGAGTAAACCGGGCAATTCTGTGAGCAGGGGTCAGTTTCAAGAAGCAGGGATTTATTTCACGAAGAAGGTTTAATGTAAACTCTGTTTCTGCTCTCATTGGCCCATTAGGGAAAATCATTCAGATATTTGATGATGTTTCCTATCATCTGTTTGCTCATGATATCCAGTTTTACTGCTCTTTTAAGTCCGCAGAGATCCAGAAATTAAGCTCTCTGCTGAATTGTCTTGCGCACGTTAAACAATGGCTTGGTGCGAATTCCCTGCAACAAAACTCTGATAAAACGGTGCTGTTGATTGCTCCTGATGACGCTATGTCGCTATCTGAAATGTATTTCAGATATCATAAATACATATTCAGTCAATCTGATAAATGTCAAAACGGCCACTTAAAATGCGTAAACATTTCTAGATATAAAAAACTTAATTCCTACTGGTATAATTTTGTTTATTTTTTACTTTCTAAAATTCAGTTTCTGCTACAAAAATTTAATTTAGAAAATATATTATTACAGTTCAACCTAGGAGTGTGATATTGTTCAGGAAGAATCTTTTTTAGTGATCTACAAATGGAACAACAGACAGGAGAGTGCTTATAATAAATATAGAAACAGCCTTCACTTCATAGAAACTTACACATTAACTTTGGCAACAAAAAACTGCCTGCCTCTCCGTCCTGGATTTAACTGGTAAACCTCCCTCAATTTGCCCGCCTGTCTACCTGCAGCCTGTTTGCCCACACAGATTCTGCCCCGCTTTCAGATTAACCCTTTCAATAAATCAATCAAAACGTCACTAANAAACAGCCTTCACTTCATAGAAACTTACACATTAACTTGGGCAACAATCTTCCTTGCCATCTTCCTGTCATTTGAAGCTGTAGCGCTGTTTCTCTCCCTTTTTTATATTATTTCTGATATTATAATCTCTAGTTCCAGTGGGGTGAAAGAGGCACTTCCTGTTGTTATAGTGACTCGTCAAATCCGGGCTCCATTGATAATGGCTTTTCATACTTTTTACGCACGTGTTAACTACTCAGAGTTGATTGAACTAACTCCTAGCAGACGTTGTGAAACTGAAAACTCTAAGTTCCTGACTTTAGGCTAGATCTACTTAGAATTGCGAATTTGAATCTGAGTTTGTTAAAATCTGCTTCTTGAAACGAAACCCTATGTTTACTGAAAACTTTAAGTCTTAACTCTATCAGCAACATGGTCTGGGGTTCATTTCCCGGCCCAGGGTCTTTCTGGATAAAATTTTCATGTTCTCCCTGAGCATGCCCAGGTTCTCTCTGGGTACTCCGACTTCCTCCCACAGTCCAAAAACATGACTTAGATTAATTAGCTGGTGTCAGTTTGTGCATGAATGTTTGTTTGCCCTGTTCGTCTCTGTGTTGCCCCACGATAGACTGGCGATATGTCCAGGGTGTAACCCGCCTTTCGCCCCTTCAGATAGGCACCAGCAACTCTCTAGGGATAAGCGTGATGGAAAATGGATGAATGATTTTGTTGTAGTTTTGTGCATACAATAACAAAAAAAAATGTAATGGTTTCTGCACTGATTCTGGCCTGATCACCCAGTCCACACACCTGCTCTGCTCCACTCATCTGCAATCAGCTCTGACTAGAGTCACCTGTTTCCAGCACTTTAAAAACCCCATCAGATCTGTCCTCTGTGCCAGATTATCTCGAGCCAACCCGCTACGAATAGTCCAGCATCTAAAGAGTACATGCCTGCCTATCTGTTTCTGACCCAATCTGCCTCCTGACTCCGAGCCTGCCTGACCCCTGTTTGATTCTGCCTGCCTGCTCCCCTCTCTCTGGATCTCTGACTCTGAAAAGCTCCGCTAAACTGCCTGCCTCGCCGTCCTGGATTTAACTGGTAAACCTCCCTCAATCTGCCCGCCTGTCTACCTGCAGCCTGTTTGCCCACACAGATTCTGCCCCGCTTTCAGATTAACCCTTTCAATAAATCAATCAAAACGTCACTAAGCTGTCTAGGTTTATTTGGATCCAGTCTCTGTCTCCTTACAAAAAATCATTCACCAGGTTCATTAGACACTTTAAGTTTTAAAAATGAATATTGCATGTCTTTTTGAAAAGAAAGTTATGGAAGAATGATTGCCATTAATTGACAGACAATTAATGCATACTTTTCATAATCAGAAAATTATGTTTATGAGCACTGGCTTGCGTTTCATCTTTCAAATCATCACATACAGTACATACTAGAGCAGAAACAATGAATCGGATTAATTGTTATTTATCGATTATGGAATAATCGTCTATCGTCTAACTAATTTAGTAATCAAATAATCATTAACTGGAGTATAGAGACTGTAAAACATTCCTTTAATTGCCAGAGCAACTCACTTAGAACAGTAATTATTCAAAAATGCTTTCATCTATTAATATGCTCTGTCCAGAACTGCACAAGTGGAAAAATTGTAGTTCACCTGGTTTTATTTTGTAATGAACGAATCTTTGGCTATACAATTAATCAATAAATCTAAAAAATAATCGACAGATTAATCGATTCGCCAGATAATCGTTAGTTGCAGCCCTAATACATACACAACCTTATCCATCCTGACATTGGCAGCATTACACAGACTTTTTTAACAGAAGTTAATATCAGTGAGAAAACATTGGTGTGTATGTGTGTGAAAACAGCATTATAGAAAACAAGACGGTACAGTCAAACAGCACAAGTCCCATAGAATGGATTCAGGCTGTGCCTCTTCTCGTAGTTTTTTTTATGGCTGATGATATGCAGTTTATCAATGATAACAGCTGCTTCGGCTTCGTCTAAAACCTTAAGTTTTATTTACCATTTATCTGCTTCATAGTTTTTATCTATTTTATTTACAATGTACCAATTTAAAAAATAAAAACCTATGTATTTAAGTTTTACTTCAAAT